CTTATTTTTGTATTTTTAGTAGAGACAGGGTTTCACCATGTTGGTCAGAATGGTAGAGCTGGGGGTCACTCCTGTCACCCAGATAGTGGCATTGCAGCCTTAAACTCCCGGGCTTGAGGAATCCTCCCACTTCAGCCTCCTAAATAGCTGGGACTACAGGTAAGTACCATCACACCCAACTTTTTACAATTTTTTGAAGAGACAGGGTCTCACCCCTGGGCACAAGCAATCCACTTCAGCCACCCAAAGAGCTAGGATTACAGGCATGAGCCACCGCATCCAGCCAGAATCAGTTTTTCCCTCCATTACATCTTAGCTCAAACCCAAGCTCAGCAGAAGAGAAGGGTAACTGCATTCACTTTTTTTTTTTAATTTTTCTGACACGGAGTCTCACTCTGTCACCCAGGCTGGAGTGCAGTGGCATAATCTCGGCTCACTGCCACCTCTGCCTCCTGGGTTCAAGCAATTCTCCTGTCTCACCTTCCTGAGTAGCTGGAATTACAGGCGCGTGCCACCACGTCCAGCTAATTTTTGTATTGTTAGTAGAGACTGGGTTTTGCCATGTTGGTCAGGCTGGTCTTGAACTCTTGACCTCAGATGATCCACCTGCTTTGGTCTCCCAGAGTGCTGGGATTACAGGCATGAGCCACTGCACCCGGCCACAATCACTTAGTTTTTTTGTTTCCCCCTCTGCAGACAAAAAAAAAAAGTTATCCAAAATTCAACGTAAGAAAACTGGAATCACCAAGAGGAGCCAGTTATGTTGCAGATAACAGTGCCTATCACCTTCACCTCTGTCAGAGGCCCTCAGAATTTTCAGTGTTGGAAATGGGAGAACGAGGTTTGAAGTTTTAGGTTGGGTTATTAACAGACCAGATCCCCATTTCTTGGCCAGGCATGGTGGCTCACGCCTGTAATCCCAGCACTTTGGGAGGCCGAGGCAGGTGAATCACTTGAGGTCAGGAGTTCGAGATCAGCCTGGCCAACATGGTGAAACCCCATCTCTACTAAAAATACAAAAAATTAGCCGAGCGCCTATAATCCCAGCTACTCAGGAGGCTGAGACAGAAGAATCGCTTGAACCTGGGAAGCGGAGGTTGCAGCAAGCCAGGATCGCGCCATTGGACACTAGCCTGGGCGACAGAGTGAGACTTTGCCTCAAACAAAACAAAACCACCAGATCCCCATTTCTCAATGACTTGGAAGGCCCTTGGAGTGCAAATGGCAGGACCTTTTGGGCCTCCAGTGAGGGACAGCAAACCACACTTATCCATCAAACTTCACAGTAAGCCCATAGCATTCCTGCCTGGGGAGAGGGCCTGTCAGCCGGGTACCCTCTGTCCAGGGCTTCATTGAAGAACTGTCTACAATCACCACAGCGCCTGGCCTGAAACAATGGATTTGGAGATGGCTTCTGGGTGGGATGCATATTACAGGGGTCCCTCTTTTAAAAATAAGGAATTACTCCTAGCAAGCGAGGTATGTTAGAAACTGTTAAAAGAAAAAGTTACCTCAAACATTCACAGCAGCAAACGAATAGAACAAGGTCAGAAAACAAGGTTTTTTTCCTTTTACTGGTTTATAATAATCTTAAAAACCCCATCACACCCATAAACCACCACAGGTGAGGTGAGAGAGATGGAGAATGAATGCTACAGTATGTGGATAGAGTGGGGAATCCAGGTATTCCCTAGGGTAGTGTGGGATGGAGACAGGGAGTGTGGAGAGGAGGCCCTGGCTTGGACCCTTATTGCTGGCTGGGGGTTGGCTGGCAGAGGGGAGAGGGACTCAGGCTGAACTCCAATAGAGGGAACATCTCACACCAAAGGCGAGGGCAGTAGGGGGCAAGGGGATCACAGTACATTTTCCATGCAGACTAGGGGTGGGAGTGAGAGTTTCAAAGACTTGCACCCCTACACAGGAAGAGATGGGTTTGAGGTTGTTTGACTTAAAGCCCCCAAGTTGGTGTCTGGTCCAATTTCCTAAAATGGCAGCTCACCTTTCAGGGAGAGGTACTGGGGAGGAAAAAAAAATACAGCCAAGAATATCTGTTTTGGAGATCAAGCAAGGGATAGGGGGAAGACAGTGGTGCTCTTTAAATCTGACTCAGAAAAGCAGGAACTGGAAGAGGGCCCTGGGTGAGGTGGTGGCCAACACCTTGGGAGAAGGCATTAAGCCAGAAGCTGCAGGTGCTCCTGAGGGCTCAGGACAGGGAGGTACCAGTGTTCACAGACAGCAGAAA